AATTTAATAGAAGAAAGTATTCTTGCATTGAGGGAGTACTTGAGTGGAGGCCCAATGTCCTTCTGCTACCTTAATACTAAACCTTTAAATATATGCACATAGATCTATTTCCCCATCCTCATATATAAATATTTTGCATATGTGCATGTCTTTATCTAGACCTCCATAAATCCCCTTTGCCTCCCAGCTCTTTCCTCTATTTCCTGTGACTTTCCTCAAGTGGTTGCCGTCGGTTCCGATGGGACTCCCTGTGAGCCCATGCATGCCAAAGTGGGACTGTGCGCCCACTGTGTCATGACTGGTTTTGTGAGGAAGTCGATTGCCAGAGCTTTCTTCTGGGTGGACTCAAACCTCCAAACTTTTGTCCAACAGCTGAGTGTGTTAGCCATTTGCACCACACAGGGCCTCTCAGAACCTTGTTTCTCTGTCAGTTCCGCAAGTTATGGATTCTATATACGGCCCGTTACCACCATGTGAGAATCCTTACATAAGGATCTTGGCCCTCTCCACTTCCATGGTGAAGCCAGTGAGGGTCAGGGTGCAAGCACACTTGGTTAGAAATGGCAATCCTCGTGTTCCAACCTCTTTTTCTGTCTGATAGTAGGATAGGCTCAAAACTGCATGCAAAAATCTCTGTGCATAACCCCTGAGCTACTTCTCTGGCTCTAGCTAAACGTGAGAAAGCTCTTCCATTAAGGAGGACATGGTGATCTTGCTCAAAGTTGTCTTTGGGCCTTTGACGTCCTCTGAGAATGCTCAGAGCTGGTATATAGTAAATCGGTTGACCTCAGAATCCCTTTGTCTGGGAGTGTGTCTTGGACTCTCTTTGTGTTTGGAAAACCTGGGGAAGACGAATGGCCACAAAGTCTCTAGTGTGGCTAGTCTCTGATGCCCGTGGTAAGGCAAGCTACAGCCCACAGGTGCTGGGGTGCTCTCCCTAAATTATGGTACCACTATCAGTCATCTGTCAGCCTCAGCAGTCATTGTCCACCCACATCAGCAGGATGACCAGCACTTGATGCATAGAAATATATTCAGTTCATCTTGTCCCTTCTCAGCACACCAGCACACTGCAATTCCAATTGTAGCTTGAGTGTGTTATTATATGGTGGAGGTTTCCTTAGTTTTTTGTGTATTATTTTGTTTTATGTTATGGTAACATATTTGGGTTCCTTGTTAAGGCCAGAAAGTCATATGAAATCATTAGTAAATCATATTGATTAGATACCATTGGTTACAGTTATTTAAAGTTAAAGAGCACTCACACACTCATTATCCAACTTTCTTAATTTCTGGATGCGGAAACAGGTGTGGCCTGATAAGAGCTTCCTACTATTTACTAGAAGTAGAGATCTAACTGTTGATTTGCAAGGCGCTGTTCTCTCTGACAAGAAGCCCTGGCAGCGTAGTGCGTTAAACATTGAGCTACTAACTGAAAGGTCGTCAGTTCAAACCCACTGGCCACTCTATGGGAGGAAGATGAGGTTGTATGCTCTCGTAAGGATTTAAAGTCTTGGAACTGGAAGGAGTAATTCTACTCTGCCCTCCAGGGCCATAATGAGTCAGAATAGATTGGATGGATCCCAGAGTTTGGGTTCCCTATGGACTTGGTCCTCTCTCCCTTTGAATAGTAACTTGAATTAATTGGTTGCATGGGGTCAGAGTGGGACTCAATTAGGAAGGTCATCCTAAATGAATCCTCTGTGTTGTGACCACTGCTGACAGCCTGCTGGACTTCTTACCAGCAACAAAAGCCCTCTGGTAAGGAGCAGGATGATATTTTCAAAGATAGGAGCATTTGTATTTTCTTTGGGGAGGAATGGGAAGGTGCAGTGTTTGGAATATGTTTCACTAAAAACTGAGCTTGGAAAATTCTCAATAGCTGAAAACAAAGTCTCTGATTTACTCCCTCTGAGAAGAAGTGAGTCCCTTTTGTCGGATGGTAGAACAGAGACCAGCCCAGTCACCTTGACTTAGACTCATTGCATTGATGCTGACCCCATGGTATGGCAGCAGAGATCCATAGAGAACACCGCTCTCATCACGGATCTACCCACATGGGCCAGAGAAATTGACCCAACAGGCAATGAACTGTTCCTGTGCGCTCGTAGTCTCACCTAACTGATCTGAACTCTGTTCTGTAGCCTGGAACTCACGTTCATGGATATATGCTTACGTCACTGAAAACATCTGACTCTTAGTAAAGTTTTTAAAAAAAGAAATATGATTAAACGTGGAAAGTATTTTGCTACTGGCGTTTCAGATGAGAGTAATGATCTGTGTTCTTTTATGAATAGACTATTTAAAGAATGTAAGTTTATTTCTTTTCCGTAACTCACCCCGCTGCTCCCCCCACACCCACCCTTTCTTAATCCAGAAAGCAAAAATGAAGATCTGTAACTAAGTAGGCTCATCCTAAGTGTATATTGACTTTTTTATGTATAATGTGGAACTAATAAAAAACAACAGATTGAAATGTCTTGGAATCACGAGTGCTGGTTATTAAATATATATATGTCTGTATGTATGTGTGTATATATAAATGCAGATGGTAACTTGCAACTTGCAACTGTCATGAACTGAAAATGTAAACCAGAGAGCCGCAGGGGGAAGGTCAGAAACAGTGAGGAAGCTACAGTGGTAACTACTCACCTGCCTTTTTCTCAACTGGACTCTAATTTACAGCCATGAAATAATGTCTCTCCCTTCCCCAACCAGGATGGCAGCAAAATGTACACAACACACATCTCCTACTTGGAAATCTACAATGAATGTGGTTATGATCTGTTGGACCCAAGACATGAAGCCTCCAGTTTGGAAGATTTGCCGTGAGTCTCAGAACAACAAAGAATGGGGGGAAATTGCTTTCAGATGTTCCTTCGGTTGTTTTCTTTGAAACTCTGTATGTTTCTGGTCTCCATCGTAATTAGCAAATGCTGGATAGCAGGATCTTTTTGTAATATAATAGATTTTTTTTCCATTTATGACGAATGGACAGTAGTGGTTGCCTGAAACTCATTTCTGGGGAAACTCTCTTCTGGAATTGGGATCAGAGAGTGTAGCGAATGTTCTCAGAGCGTGGGCACTGAGGGGGCGCAGGGATGATGGCAGTGCCTCTTTACTCTGGCCGCATAAAGCCATTTATGCCTCTAATTGTGGCCTTTCTCTGAAGAAGGTATTCAACTTGAAATTCAAACAGCAATTAGTGAGTCTGAAAGAGAGAAAGTAAAAGCTTAAGTTTTCCCTCAAATGCTTCTCTACTATTATTAAACTAACATAGACAACCATTTGTCTTGGTGCTATTTCACGACCAAAAAAGTCAAGCTTACTGTGCTTATCTTTTGACAGAGCAAGCTAGGCCAGTAACATTTATATCACTCTACTCTCTGTTTGTTTGCATAGCTCCCTACATTAGACATCTGCAAAGGGCTTCTAACAGTTTGTGAAAACGTTCCTCAGCCTCTCTCGCTCGCTCTCTGTCCTTGCAACTTTTCACTGTGAATTGGATGATGGTTTCCCGAGCAGATCATGAGTTTTACATACAATAATCCTTCCACATCTTGCTTAATCTCATTCACTGCGGGCCCCCTCAAGGTCACATCCTTTAAGCCACTCTGTGCCTGTGGTTCTTATTTCCACTCTTTCTTTTCTAATTCTGTGACCTTTGTCCTCCGGTTAATGCTTCCCATTGGGCTGATTGTTCGAAGGTGTCTGTCCCCCACTAGTGTTATTTCCCCCTAATAGACCTCTCTATTGTTTGGCTGAAAATTGAGCCATTGAGGTGAGTTCATAGGCCTGGAGGTCCCAGTCTCAACCTGACCAACAGGCCTGGTCTCTTATAATTTTGAGGTCTGTTTCCCAGTTTTCTCCCACTCTACTCAAGACCTTCTCAGGTGATCCCTTTCAGAGCTGTTGGTAGTCGTAGCCAGGCACCATCTAATGCTCCTAATCTTAGGCCTGTAGAGACTGATGCTCACATGGCCCCTTAGCCCTCTAGACTGGTTCTTTCCATGTGTCTTCGATTTACATCACTCTTCTTTCCTCTGGACAGGGAGAAACCAATAGTTGGTGTACCTTAGTTGGCTCCCCAAGGGCTTTTTAAGACCCTAGTCACTGCTCACCGAAGTAGGATATAGAACATTGTGTTTGTGAGTTATGTTATGTATGTTATGTTATCTTATGTTATGTTGTTATGTTATGTTATGTGTGACTTTGGTGTCACCCAAGAACATGGCCC